AAAATAAATGCCATCATCTTGCATAGGTACATGTATAAGAAAAATGTTGTACTTCTTAATACTTATTAAATACTAGTAACTATAAAAACGCCCTTATGTTGTGTTGGAAAATTATTTTACAAACTTGGACAGTCACTCTATTTTGCCGCATTCCTCGTACCTCTAAGTTTCAAATGTAAAATGTCTATATCTCAGATCCTTAAGTGACGAATCAACGAAAAGTTATCCAACCCGGTGCAAAAAATTATTTATCATATCTAAGATTTGCTAGAATATTGACTACTTTAAGTCATGCACATTTTTTTTTCGAAGTGCGTTAATATGGTCGATATTAACGCATTTTGAAAATAAGAATTATTTTTTCAAAGTCGTTAACTTTGTCCAAAAGAACTACAAACAATAGTATTGTTCTCCCGCCTACCTCTAAGTCAATTTTCAAAATTTAATATATTTGAATGATTTTCCATATTTGTATTCATATTTACATGAAATTCCATAACACATTGCTTATTTGGGAAAACAAAGAGAGATAAACCTATAATTTTGGTAAAACTCGCGTTTTTCACTATAGAAATCAACGGAAACGGAAAATATTTTAACCCCCCCCCCTGAAACAAAATTCCCTCCATACAGGTAATATAGACTGTTATTTCACATTTTCGTACCAAAGCTTTTTGTGTTTCACGGGGGTGGGGGAGGGGGGTGGGGGGTGGGGGGCATATGTTGACCAAAACAAATGCAAAAGTTCTAATTTTTCACCAATTTCAAAGGGGTTAACAACTAAAACATAGTATTTTATTAATGATATATGTTGAATTTCATATGCTTAAAACATAAGAAACGAGGCAAGGAACATTTATTCACATTCAAAAATATCTTAAAATACGGTGATGGTGTAAAGCCCGGTTTCAACAGAAAATATCGCCTACCCCCCTTTTTTAAAGAACTAGAATAAGGGATAATTAACTATTTTATACTGGTATTAAAATTATTAATCAATTATAATTGAACAGATCTTCTCATTCTCATTCTCATTTTATGACCAAACTGTCATTAATATTCAATTAAATGAGTGTAAAGGAATCAAGAGTTAGCGTACGTAGTTTTTTAACGCACTTTGATCTTTTTTTTCAAAAGTGCGTTGTAACAGTGCTGAGAAGAATATTATAAAAATTCATTGCAATATAGAGGCGAAAAATTACGAAAACTTCCCATGGCCAAACAGGGCAAACGAGCTACCAGCACTATTCAGGTAAAGGAACTTAAGTTTTTTTTTTAATGCGTATCAATCTGCCTAACAATTATATTTTTATACTAGTCATGTGACACACAGCTGATACAAGCCCTGAAACTGTAACAAAGTATGGTATTATCATTATTAGTAACTAATTACTTCTCCACTTTTATGTTGTAGTAAGTATTTTACATTGATTGCTACCTTTAATGCATTTAAAGAAGATATTAAGATAAAATTTAATATTACTTTTTTTTAATATAGCTGAACAGGAAATATATATTTTTTTTTAAATCATGATCTGTGTGTGTTGGATGGGTCAAAAATAGAGGATAAAAGTTTTACACAGGATTAAAAAGTCAACATATGATTATATACAAAAGAATCTTCTTCTCAAGAGCAAAAAAGCCCTGATTGGTCATACTTATATCGCAGCTAGATTAAGGACGCCCATAGGAAATACGCCGTAATATATTCCGAGAAAATGAATATAGGATTCGATTTAATTTTAAACAGCATTAGTTCTGATGAATATGAATTCACCTATTTGCATAAGTATATATAAAGTCTTTGGACATAAAAGTAAATTTCTAAATTATGAAAATTTTCCCTAAAAAAAAAAAAAAGGGAAAGAGCTGTGTGCAACTTCCTCACGCCGGGGAACTATGTAAAATTTAGCCGTATTTCGATAAACTTCCTTGATTGACTTGATACACAACGAAATTATATAAAATTAAGGATTAGCGCACTTTTAAAGAATATTGTTTAATATACTTCATACTTAATAGTGAAGTGGATTTCGTTGAACTTTGGAGATTTTCGAGGGGCTGTGTCTGTCATTCTTGTACGTTACTGTGTAAGTGTGCCTGACTGCGGCTTTATATGAGGTCTTTATATTTCCAATTTCATAGACTTACAAAGATTTAATTTCAAAAATATATTTCAATTTTAGAAAGATAACACTTGTTTAATTCTCTTGTTTTAAATTTACGTTCTACAATTAGCTTTATCCACGGATCAAGTACAGAGCAGGGATCGGGTAATTGAAAAAAACAATTGTAATTGACTTTAATTAATTACATTTTTAATATTTATTGAATGTAATTTGTAATTGAACATTTTTATTGATTACTTGTAATTGTGATTCAATTAATTACAATGAAAAAATACCATGTAATTTCAATTACTTTTTCAATTACATTCAATTACTTTATTTAATACACATGCATGATATATTGTCACCACAACTCCCCATTATGCTGTCTTTATATTCTATTGCAAAACATATCCCCAGTCCTTCAATTATACAGAAGACAGTTTATTTTATAATTATAATGTAGTTTCTTTCTAATCATTATATAAATTTTGATTTTTTTTGTTTTATGTTTATCTAAATTATGCACCACCATTCTTTAATATGTGTATTCAGCTTTGAAACACAATGATTTATATTATTTTAATCTGTGTTGTTTGATCAACGTAGAATAAGATTGTGTATGTCAAAAAAAAAAGAAGAAGAAAAGGAATGTGTGTGTCATTAATGAAGTTCTCTCTTGTTGGTATTAAGAGATAATTGCCATCCAGATCACAGATGTAAATTGCAATCAAAACAAATCAACCCCTCTAAAGACGTATTCATTCAATGATAATGATGACAATGCATAGTAGTGATAATTATTTAATCAATATTTTATTATGTTAGATTACTTGGTTCTAGATTGTTTTGAGCAGGTCCGAGGTATCTAACTGTTTGTACACTAGTCAGTTTTAAGCATTTCCTGAGTGTTTCTTCGCTGTCAATAAAATCAAGTGGTTTTAAAATTTAGCACTAATAACAAACTTTTAAAAAAAAATTACATAGTAATATATAGGAAAAATCTTTAAAAATCTTCTTCTCTAGAACCATTGGGCCAGATGATGAAACTCATATGGAAGCATTTTCAGGTAGTGTTGAATCATACTTGTTCAAATCATAGCCCCTGGATTTGGGTATGGCCACAATGACTTGGCAAAGTTTTACATAGGAATGCATAGGGAAAATCTTTTTCAGAACCATTGGGTCAGGAATGATGAAACTCATTCGGAGGCATTTTCAGGGTAGTGTAGATTCAAGTTTGTTTCAAATCATTACCCCAGGGGGTTGTGGTGGCAATGGTTTGTCAAAGTTTTACATAGGAATATATAGGAGGTCACAATGGGAGATCAAGTAATGTGTTGGAAAAATCTTTCTCTCCATAACCATTGGGCCAGGAATGATGAAACTCATATGGAAGCATCCTCAGGGTAGTGTAGATTTCATATTTGTTCAAATTATAGCCCGGATCTAAAAATCTTCTTTGTCAAGTATTGCAAAATTATACGTGTATGCTTTATTGATATAGTTACATTCTTAAGTTATAAAATTCAAATCCCTCCCCAGCAAGTAAACTTTTCACTACTGAGTTGATTTGTGTTTTCTAATTAGCTCATGTGCTCAGGTGAGCGATGTGGCCATGGTTCTCTTGAGATAATTTTTGGTGATGCAATCAAAAGAAATCGCATATTATGTTACCCTGTGTTTCTTTTTCTTTTCAGTATACATAAAATTCAGCAGGAAATATTTAACTCATGATAAATTTAACACTTTTTCCGGGAATATGAGGCGATTTTGGCCTTCTATAGTGACAGCTAGCTGGGTTAAGCTGAATGAAAATCATGGTTTAGAGAAGTCAGGATCTTATGACGGCGGACAATGTGTTCAAGTAATATACATGTATTTCGCTATAAAGCTAATCATTACACGGTTTCTGATATTTACTTGCATTTTTTTAAAGAGTTCTACCGGTAATGATTAGCATAAAAAATTAGTAGTGATTCGTTAAAAAGATGTTATAGGCATTGTTCATACAGAAACAATTATATACGAAGCTCGCAACGAAATATAAAGCATGCATATATGTTATTTAGATCATTTTTAGAATATTTAAGAGCAGTGGTTTTTTTAATCGTTGTTTTATACAGTGCTGATGGATTTAAATCAAATTCTTAAAAAGACTTATCCTGCCTAATTACATACACTAGACAAAATTGCTAACGCACCACTTGTTAATTTTATTTGTTAATTGAACATTTGCCGGATCGGTACTAGTGTATATGATATGCCATTATTTCCAAAGAATGGGATTGACAAATGTCTTGGTATCATGGAAAAAAAGTATGAAATGACCTTTTTGTCCGAAAACCAATTTCCAGCTGTGCACTGCGCACAAATTTTGCTCAGATATGAAATTCATGATCACTAGAGGGGTCTGTGAGACTGCCACAGGAGTAGTCCCCCATTTTAAAACAAATAACATTAAATCATTGATTATCATATTTCCTAGTAATCACCTGATACCTTAGTATAATTATGTCAAATCCGCCCACTTCCGGTTTTGTGGAACAATTTTCAACTGATTGTATGCTGCTTACTAGATGCTTTGGTTATCTAAAGTAAACAATTTAATGTTTGTTAATCTATTTTGAACAATTTTTAATGAGTGGAATTCATAAGCTTTTAATTGTTTTGTTTATTTCTGAGTTTTTAATTAGTACAAATGGAAGGAACACAAATACAATGAAATTTTTTTTTCAAAAATGGACTAGACTCGATATATTTTTTTCTATTTATTGTTCACAATCCAATGAACATTGTGGTTATTTATAAATTTTGACATTAATATTCCTTATTTGTTGCTAAAGCAACCTATTTATATATCAAATGCAACATAAACAGGTTTTTAAAAGTAAAATATGAATTCTCTTAGGTGGTGCCATAGCAATTTTGTCTAGTGCATATTTTCACTTTCCTGTGTTGAGGGCAACGGGTGCTTGGCTAACGGAAGAGTTAATGTTTAAAGAAATCGTGGTAATGCAAAAACTTTAATCGCAGAAAAGTAGCATCACTTGTTGCAGAAAGTAGGAATTTTTTTTATCGGAAAACAAGTGCTCTGAAATCAAGGTAGTACACAAAAAACAAAGTAAATATGTCTTCAATTTTGTTGAAACACTGCCAAGTTTTTACACATGAACACCTGAATCACTAAGATATTCGAAAAGGGCTGCGAACCTGAAAAAAATCTTGCAAATAAATTAATTATACCTATATATAACTGTTGATGACCAGCAAAATTTTCAAACTGTGGTCTAAAAATATAATTATAGCAATTAAATAATGTAATTTACATGTATGTAGGTTCGCAGCACTTTTCATGAAGTGTATACAGTGTTGTAAAGAATTAGAAATAATAATACATTATCTTGATACATGTTAACATATTTTTTTCTTAATAGGTTCATAAATATAGAAATAAAAGATAACAACAATTAAATCATATAAACAATGATAAAATGTGTTATCCTTGCTCAAATAAAATAATTGTATTGATTTTATTAATTTATTTTTTTTTCTTTTTTCTCTATTTTCGACATCACATTAAAAGTCTAAATAAAGAATCTTAATGTCCTTAACATGGAGATTTGAACCACATTACATAATTTTTAGGAATTGTATATTCCTACTGTAATGAATGTATATTTTTTTTAAATTTTGATCATTTTTGTTTATATGGAGCTCTTCTTCTGAAGGAGATCTAAATAGTCTAAAAATGGCCACGACCACCCAGCCTCTTTAAACGTCTTAAAATGACCTCATCCTATATTGTACATAAAATATGGAGATGTTTTATATATCTATATATCCAAATATCAGATCTATAACAAAAATGGATAAATAAGTTTCTTTGCATTTAATAAATGTAGGCTCTAAAATAACTAATATATAGCATTTTTGAAGTCTTTTTCCACAAAATAGATCAAAAACATGTCATAGCTTACTATTTTCCTCACTCAGATCTTTGAAAATTGATATTATAGTAACAACATTCTTTTTTCTGGTGTACCGAGGAGAATTTGAGTTAAAAGATATTCCATAGGTGTTCAACCTCAACTTCCGAATTCCCTACCCCCCCCCCTAATTTGTAAATTGCTGTGCGTAATGCATTGCATCAGACAGTGACTTCTAATATTTTCCTGTATATCGTCAGAGAGTTCTAGTCAGTGAGTACTAAAAGCAAAAAAAATTGAAGAATTCCCCAACCCCGAACCCCCAACCCACCTGGACATTGCGGAGTTATTAATGTACGTAGTCATACCATACTCACAAACAAAAACATCCACACCAAACACACACACACACTCACCCACACACACACAAACAAACACTTAAACATGGTTTTTTTTGTAAATTGTATAATTAGTCTGTACCTTTTACCAATGGTCAAGTTACTATCCACAAAAAATTTCAGTATTTTGACGAGTATGACTTTGCCTTTCATGAAATTTCTGATGAATTATAGGAGTTAGTGCCCTCCCTTATAGAGGGCGCTAATAAGCATGCCTAATCCCCGAATAAACATGTAGCTTTTTTAAAATAAACACGTAAATTTGACTTTGAAAAACGTAATATAGTGCTCCGAATAGCGTGCGTTACTAGATTGGCTAAGTTCATGTATATTATTTTCTTTTTATTTCAAAATAAAAATATCAATGTTTAAAATAATTGATGGAATGTAGGAAAATATGACAGAAAATATAGCAATAACAGGGGATACTGTAGGAGTGGGGTGATATTTTTGGCAAAGTGTCACTTACTGCCGATTGCTGTCAATTGTAAAAACTGCAATTTTGAACGCCATGGGACACTATTTTTTTCTTCATAAACGCTTAGAATAGTTATAAAAAATGCCAAGGGTTTCTCTGAAATTAAATTGGAAGAGAAATGAGAAGGCAGAAAAATTTTATAGAGTTCTATAGGGAAAAATAGAAGTCTTCATTATA